CCTACACGAAGGGGCAGTAAGCATTTGTCTGAAAGCCGTAGGTTTTATATTAAACCCATTTTATCCAATTTCTAAATATTTTCCACATTGGTCGGAAGATTTTTCTATCCGTTTTTTTCCAATTCTATCGCTAACAAAAGACTAAAATCGATTATATTCGATTTTCAAAAAATTATAATCATTCATTCGGTTCAATTTTATTCCATAAAATTTGATTCGATTTTATTAATAGATATCGTATTAAAAAAATTCAATTTTTCCACCGATTCGATCTAATTCGAATTCGATTTTTTTTTATTTAAAAAGTTATTCGATTATTAATCAAATTGTTAGTGGTATCCTGGACTAACACATCAAAACATCATTTACGTGCTACAACATAATTTTTCAAGTCTATTTCTATGTTCATATTCATAACTTTTCGAGATTCGGAAAACCCGAACCTGAACTCGAACATTAGAGCGATATCATTAGCCCCAAGTCCCGCGAAGAAGCGGGGTAGTATCGATATCGTCCCCGAAAGTCTCGACGAGGTCGCAGGACGACTCGTCAGGCTCCAACTCCATTCCGAGCTCTTCCTCTATATCGTCCGAGGCCGATATCAGCAAAAACTCGCACCCTTCGTAGTTCAGGAAATCGGGCGGGTCACTGGGACTAAATCGGGTCTGTCCTAAATGGGCCTGAAGATGGGCCGGGAACTGGGCCTTGTGTTTCCTCTGCGGCCCACTAAGCCCGTACCCTTCTCTTCCTCCCTGTTGCTCTGGGTTCTTGATCTGGATTAAGAACGAACCCTCGGGTTCGATGTTGAACGATTCTTGTGGCTCGTGAGATTCGGACGGGAACTCGAGCTTGTAGACCAGATGGGTGTGGTGCTTCCTCGTGGGTTTCGGTTTGTGCCGGAGAATTCTGTATATTCCTTCTCCGACCGCTCTTGCCGGTGGCTTGTGTCTGTGTCCTCTGGTCGCCGTTACGTATTCCTCTGTCGAAATCAAGTGGTCGAAAACTGTGATTTTTTGCCTCAAAATCGAATCTTTTCGATCGGAGAATTCGGATGTTACCTCCTCTAAGGGCGGTTTTGACATCGTCGACGTGGGTGGTAACCAGTTCAACGAATCCCCAGAATGGCTGAGATCTCTTTCTCGGATCTGGAAGGCGTTTCTTGCCCATCACTATGAATCGTAACAGATGCTGTTCCTCGATGTTCACTTTCTACCAAAAAAAAGAAGTTCCAAAGTTGAGAACTTTCAAAGCGCAGCAAATTGATGGTTCATGGTTTTCTGGGTTTGCTCACCTCGACGCCGTGTCCTCCGTCGCCGCCGGAGGAGGAGGAGGAGCTACCTTCGCGGGCGGCGGAGGAGCTGGAATCTGGTTTGGAGCCTTCTTTGCCGGAGAGATGGTGTTGTTTCTCCTCGACGGGAGACTCGCCGGATTCAGGACGCATGACGAGGTACAACCTTTGTACATCGTCCACACTGTGGGGATCTTCTTTGTTGACCTTTGGCCTGTAGAAGAAGAATATCTCTCCTCTTTCCTAACCCAAACACAGAAGAAACAGATCCATGATTGAGAGAATCTCGAGAAACAGAGACAAGAACATGTTATCGAACAACAAAAACCTGAATCTCAACTTGAGGATCTGTTCTTGTCTTAACTTCTTGACCTTTTCCCATTCCCACAACTCCTCTGTCCCGAGACTTGGACTCTACTGAATTCGATCCTTTGCCCACGTTTATGTCATCCAACAACAACAACAAAAAAAAACTTTTTTTTGGTGTGCCTACTCGGATTACACTTGGCAAATGTAGAACATTCCCACGTCATCTCAGCTGGCACGTGACACCATGCAGGAGAGTGTTTCAAATGATATCTTGAATATAAACTAATAATCAAATATAAGATTCTAGTCATCAAACGGGTATCTCCTGTTTTCTGTTTGTCATCATTCTATTACTGTGTGTGTGTATATATAGTTTTAAATACAATAATTACCCAAAGAAAGAAAGAAAATTAAGACATTACAGTTTCAATAAGAATAAAAAAGGAATGTCGGTTTGGGTTTTCAGCTCGAGCAAGCTGCGTTCTCCTCTTTCTGCAAAAACAAAATCCACATCATCCTTCTTCCTCTGTTGGCCCTGCAACACAACAGGACAACCACTGAGTTTTCCATCTTCAGAAGATTCAGACATAACACTAACACATAAACACAGATGGAGAAGAACATTGTTCAGTTATATGTCTTACCAGATGGTTTCTCTGCCTCGAGTGACGCCATTGATGAGCTCGACATCGTTCCTGATGTTCTCGGGAATGACATATCATGACCACTCCTGTTTTCCTGAGAGACAAAAAAAACATTTCCGGTGTTTAGTCGTTAAAGATTGAAGATTCCATAGAAGATGGAATCTGAGTTTCAGAAAACTCACCGATGAATAAGAAACTTGGCTCGTGTGTGGAGAACGTCCAACGTAAAAGGCACTCTCCAAGCTCTCATCCGCTAAATCTCTAAGCCTGCTGAGTTCAGGCAGCACTTCCTTGGCAAGATCAGGCCTGTCTTTCCTCCTCAGCTCTGCGCAGCGAAGAGACAGCTTTGCAAGAGACAGAGCTTCCTCCACTGGCCAGTCTGGTACGTTTGGGTCGAGCATGTTCTTGAATGTCCCTTCTTCGATCGCTTGCTCCACGTAATACGCCAAACCCATCGGCTGTTTCGCCGTCAAGATCTGCAGAAGCATGATTCCGAAGGAATATACGTCTGATTTCACGCCTAGCATCCCGGTTTGCTGGTATTCCGGGTCTATGTAACAGAAAGTCCCTGCTGCAGAGGTAACTCTGTATTGTGTCACGTTCTCCGCGACGGCTGGGACCAGTCTGGCCAGCCCAACGTCGCTGATCTTGCTGACGTAGTTGTGGTCGAGAAGTATGTTCCCGGGTTTCAGGTCTCTGTGGACAATAGGTTCTGGTTTTGTCTGGTGGAGGAAGAGAAGGCCAGTGGCCATCTCAGCCGCGATTCTGAACCGAAGCTGCCATGTCAGAGGCGGTGTATTGCCACGTCTGAAAAGCCGGTCTTCTAAGCTTCCTTTCGCCATGAATTCATACACGAGAATCCCGAATTCCGGACAAGCTCCGAGGAGAAGCACCATGTTTGGATGCCTTATGCAGCTAAGAACATCAACCTACAAACAAACAGAAGTGGTTCAAGAACTTGTTCAGACAGGCTCTGAAACCCTTTCTCGTGTCACAAGTAAACTTCTTCTTACCTCTTTCTGAAACTGTGATCTCCCTTGAGCAGCATCGGGGCGTAAAACCTTGACAGCGACCGGCGTGTGATCGAGATAGCCCTTGAAAACTGGCCCGTATCCGCCTTCTCCGACCTTCTGAGACTCTGCAAAGTTTTTCGTCCCTTCTTCGATCTCTTCCACCGTATACCTCCTGTACCGTACAATGCCATTAGGAAATGATCCGTGATCAGATTTCTCCTCGGCTTCCTTCAACGTCTTCATCTCCGCAGTTAACCTTCGCTTAGCCTCCACTTCCGCCAGCCTCTTCGCCGCTTCAGCTGCTTCCATGGCCGCTTTGGTTTTCGCTCTCTCCTTTTCCACAATCGACATTACAGATTCCTCCGACATTTTCGCTTCCTCCAGTCGTCTCTCTTCTTGGTTTCTCAATCTTTGCAGTTCCGTCGCCTAATGTTAAATCCTATCAATCTCAAATACTTTACCAGAAACATAAAAAAACACACCATGGATTCAGATGTTTTTCAGAACCTGTTGCCTTGCGCTTAAAGCTTCTTTGCAAGCAGTACTATACATATCCATGGTTTGCTTCAGCTCCAGACGCAGTCTCCTCATCTCAGCTTCGACATCGTCCTGAAACACGAACCCTCGTAAGGAAATCATTGTAGAAAGAGAAGAAAATGTACCGATATAAAGGGAGAAAAATCGGGTTCTTGATTACAAAGCTCTGTGAGGAATACGAGCAAGACGTTCTTTCGCTCTCTTCAGAAACCGAAGAGATCTCGTTGAGCAAGCCAAGATCGCTGAACTTGATCCCGAGACGATGAGACCCGATGCTATATTCGGAACTGGTCGAGATTCTTGAGGTTCTGCCTGATTCGGGTAAATCAATGGTGAAAGAGGAACGATCGACGCTGGGCCTCCCCGAGCTGATGAAGGAGATGTCAGATTCAGGATGCGAGGCACTGATGAAGGAAATGTCTGTGTCTGAATCTGTAAAGTCTGTAAGAATCCTTCCTTGTCCTGTCCTCTTCGCCAATGGCAACCTGTTCAATTATTTCAGAGTTACACTGGCAAATAAGTTCCTGCAATCGACGAAACCGAGCAGAATAACTTCCATATCAAGCAAACTTCAAAAGGGTATTTGCGATTTCGGGGAAATACCGTGCTGCGGCATCTAAATCAACTGATTTACGTGCCCTTGGAGGCGTGCTACCTGTTTGCAAGTACAAAAACACAAGAAGAGAGTTCACTCAGTCTTCGATACTTGGAACACAAGTAACATTTACAGAAAGAGTGAAACTTTTTGTGATTCTCCGAGAAACTAACCGACAGGCTGCGTTTCGCTCTTTGATTTCTTCTCGGCGACAGTAGAGTTGTTACTGTCTATTTCGCAAAGTAACGAGGAATGGAACGGAGCAGGACGAGTAGCGCCTCGTAAGGAGACTTTCCCTTTGGAAATCACGTAAACGCTGCAGAAATCCGGGGCGGATTTCGAAACACTCGTTGGCAAGTCGTTCTTGAACCGTCTGATACACGAATCAAGAAAACCCCGTAAGCGAATCTCGACGTTAAATGCCTATTCACTCTCACTTTCTGTGCCGGATTTACCTCATGAAGCCGTTCCTCGACGGGGCGCCGAGGACTAAATTCTCGATTGCAGTCGATAAAACGTATTCAGCTATTGCTTTCACTCTATCTGCGTCATGGAGCACAATGTCCAGACAGTGAATCTGACAAAAAAACAAGAACAGATTCAGATATAACATATATGTATGTATATATTTATATATATATATATATAACCATAGATTTAATATTCTAGAGGGACTCCATTAATACCTCTTTGCGAGTGCAGTAGCAGTGGAATGATACGAAGAGGTCTCTCGTTTGCTTTTCAATTTGCTGCTTATACTGTGGTGTTCCTTCTTCAAGATCCCCATTTCCTGCCAACCCAGAAAAAAAAAACATTTTTCAGATACAAAAATATCGATCTTTCACTGGAAACCTCACTAGATCTTCTATCTTTTATGATCATTTATATATTGTGTTCATGTTCATCAGTTCAGTTCAGAAACCAGATATTACGATGACCTATGTGGATCAATGAGAAAATCCATCTATTAAGAAATTAATCTGTTTCGTGATAATATGGTTGATCCATCTCATACTAATAATGAAAACTGGAGTTGTGTCATATATATATATATACGTTGGTGTATATGTGCGTGAGGTAGGACCTGAAGCAGAATGGGTTTTGGGGAGGACATGGATAAGGGCGATGGTTTGGCCACGAGAAGCAAGATTCTCAATGGTCCATTTCAAAGCATGTTGGCTACTCTTGTCTCTGTCTATTGCAACTGCCACCGACCCACTTCCCGTCCCTTTCTTCGCCGCGTTCGCCTTCGGTAACCACATCCTCTTCTCTTCTTCTGCGACAATTTCTTGTCCTCCAAGGAATCAGAGTTGAACCCTATATTCTGTTCCGTGTCCCCCAAGAAACCAAGGTCTAGCAGACACACACACACACACTCTCTCTCTCTCTCTCTCTCTCTCTCTCTCTCTCTCTCTCTCTTTGTAACAAAGGGGTGAGAGACAATATTATTGAAACCAAGAGGAGACAGATTCTGTTTTTTTAGTTTCTTGATGAATGATTATAAGAGTTTTTGTTTAATCGAGAAGTTATCATTGGGGAAACACAGAGAAGGGTTGCATGCAAAGACAGGCCATGTGTTTGTACGGACTTGAGATTTTCATGGTTTTCGTAAATGAGAGCCATTTAAGGGTTTTATTTTTGGCGTATTATCTAATTTCGGGTTTTAATAACACAAACCACACAAACATTGTTTCTTCTGTATCTGTCTTAATTTGAGCGTGTGGAAAAGTGTGTATCAATTAACCAACGGCCTATATTGAAAGAACCCCTCAACGAGAGAGAGAGAGAGAGAGAGAGAGAGAGAGAACGGTAAAAAAAAGTTAATATCGACCATAAAATTATAATGTCTTCTAGTTACAACATAAACCGAGATTAAGTCTTGTTTCAACCTGTTAAAACATAAGCCTGTTACATGACAAAACCATTCCATAGAAGTAGCAGCTCCTTCTTCCCCGTTTGAAGAAGATTATATATCTTGCCACATCCGAACTCGCAAAGTTTTCCTGCTTTCTCGATCAATCTTGTTTCAGATCTTCAAGTCATAAGGTTGCATTTCTGTGCTGTGTTTATTTTTTTAATTCTGCAAATAGCTTATGATGTCATATTCTTGCAGATCCCCATGCCCCATGATTACCCCCCTCTCTCTCTCTCTCTCTCGCTCTCTCTCTTTCTGCGCGAGTTCCATGGCTGCAAAACATCAACACGTGCAGAATGCACCCTTGCAGAACTATGTTCTATAAGTAGAACATTTTGAGAGTTGAATTTCTCAGAAATATCTGGTTTGTATTCCGACAACAAGGGTTCAATGCCCAAAAGATCCATCTTCAGTAACCATTTCAAGTATCAGAACCAACAAAATATTAAAGGCAACAGTGGATACTGCGAGTTTTTTTTTTTTTTTTTTTTTTGGCTTCATACATCAAAAACCAGTCTTGAAGTTTAACCTTTCATATAGCAACAGAACTGCCTCCGATAGTCCGCCAGTGCCCACAATGGGAAGGTGTTCCTGTATGTAGCATAGTGTAACAAGCAGTTCTTCATAAATGCTCCTGTTATTTCCTGGAGAGAAAAAAAAAACCAGTTTTATGCATTAAACATTTCCTTTCAAGAATATACATCAAGGTTTCTAAACCCTAAACCCTAAACTAGGCGGATATGTTTTTGTCTCAAGATCCAACAGTCTTAAGTAATTTGGATTCCGTGTTTCAGAGGTGTACCTGTTGAGGAAAATCGCCGTTCTCCAGTTGTGAATTGATTATAAGTTTTGCAGCGCGGTGAAGAGGAACCGGATCTCTCTCACCCTGCAATGTAAGAGCAGAATAAAACAACGGTTTTTTCCGCTAGGATTGCCATCTTTGCTACTACCCGGAACAAGAAACATTCTTATATCTCTAGTTTGAACCTGTCCAGCGTGAATCAAGCCCATCATAGCCCAAGCGGTTTGCACCAAGTTTGATCTTTCCCCTTCTAATGGAATGTATCTCTGCTCAGCAACAAAGTTATATTGTTCAAGAATATCAGCTAATCAGAATCATAGGAATTTGGAAACACTAGACACCAAATCTTGAGAGATTTTAATTTGAAAACATACCTTTCTAGGACATGACAAGTAGCTTTCTCCCCAACCTCCATTGTCTTTCTGTGTTGTAAGGAGGAAATGAACGCCTTTCTGAATGGCCAGGCAACTTTTATATGTCTTACCAGCAGCTGCTAGGCCTGCAAGAGCAAACCACGTACTGTATGTGAAGCAAACTCCCCAGCTTCCATACCTGTCAATCGAAAGAACAAAATTTGTTGGTCTTTGCTGAATCTTTATCGGTAATTTCAGCACGTGTATCTATGAATTATCATTGTTACCATGAACCATCAGGCATTTGTATGTTTTCTATGTATCGCACTGCCTTCTTAATGAAACTATTGATCTCTTTTGTCATGTGATTCGGATGTAGTTGCTTGAACAGGACCAACGCTTGAATTGCTGATGAAGTACACTCGTTATATTCATGCTCAACCACAATGTCAGCGAAAACTTCTGTAGGATTCAGCAACTGCAAAAAAAAAATTCAGGGAGATTTTCTTTCCTGAAACCACGGAGATTTAAAAGTTTCAGATATATTGTCATGGAGCATCTTGATGGGTTTTACTTCTTACTTCTAACCAATTTTGTCCACGGGCAGGTTCCCAGGCAGTAACACCTCCATTTTTACTCTGCAACAAGAGGGAAAAAAAAAGAATTTTTACTTCACCATAAAAATTTGGCAGTCTAGGAGAAATTGTCTTGTAGAGAATAATGCTCACCTGTAAAGACAGTAGGATATTAACAGACTCATATAGCTGCTGGGGATCCATTTTCGAGCCAACGATTTCAGGTGACATCATCGAGAACAGCAGGCAACACTATGAAGGCAAGAAGGGTATGAAAATTAGGATGAAAAGCAAAAAAAATTAATTACAGAAATTGCAATATATATCTATTTGAATGAATAATCACTTTGAACCCTTCAGCTGTGCAGTCTGAAGCTTGCCATCCGTGATCACGATCAGAGAAAGTCCATGCTCCTTTGGAAATGTGACGGTACATGCCTTTGAAGTCACATGAAGGATTCTCTCCAACCTTCAAAGTTTGCATTTCATTACGTAATGTTCAATTATTCAGCAGAATGAATTAAGTTTCAAGAAAGGAAAGCAGCATATTTCAAACCTGAGACTTCTTCATGAAATCGTGTCCTTTCCTGAGTATATCGGGAATTTCATTCGAGAGATTACTTGCAAGTAGAGCTTGAATAGCAAAACCAGTATCCCATAGCTGGCTCCCAAAGCTCTGCATGAATCCATGACATTCAAGAAATCTTCTGTTCCTAACCAATTTTCCATTGACGAACTTAAAATTGGACTATCAACAATCATTAATACCTGCATTTTCATTCCATCTTCTGCAATCCACAGGTAATCAGGGACTCTGGCGAGGTGTTTCTTGAAATGATCCCCATTTGGATCTTCAACCCAGCAAGCAAGCATGCATAGTACCTGAGCAAAGATAAACCAGATTTTAAGCTTTTAATAAAAAGATACATCCTGAAGACTTCTGCATTTCCAGTCGATTTCCATAAGGTCCTCTCATTCTTTCTTTCTCACTCTTTTTACTGGTCAAAGCATAAAGATTCTTTTTTGTTTACCTTTTCGATGCATCCAATTGTGATATAACGGCTATTCTCATCTTCGTAATGAATGTGTTTCATTGCCGCCTGAAGAGCCTTTTCCCGAAGAAGCTTGTTAAATGGCCAACATAAAAGGAATGGCTCCGTGAAGACATAAAGACAGTCCCATAAAAAATCTTGAATTAAAGGATGGGGACAGTACGCATCTTCCTATGGATAAACAAAATGGAACATTATTTATAATCTCTCTTTCTAGATAGAAAATTGCAAGGAAAAATGACCAAGCTTACCTTTGCACATAGATGGCGAGCTATATTCCAGTTGATTTTTGAATAAGGTTGTACATACAATTCTTTGCGTAATTGCAGAACAAGAGGTGTTATTGGACCGACAAATCTCTTTCCATAAAGATACGACATTGGCATATAAACCATCCGGCAGTAGCACCACATTTTCGCTGCAGTTTTTTAGTTAGAACAAAATAGAAACCAAAACCCACATATGGGTGAAAAGGCAATTCCAAGTGACTGATCCATATTTTATAAGCCAGAGCAGGTTAGGAAGGGATATTCGCTAGAAAAATGATGATTAACCATCAGCTCCATGCGGAGTTACATTGCCCCTAAATCAGGTTGAGAAAGCATGGAAATATGACTTTTCGCCAAAATATGTTTGCCCTTTACTTAAATATACCACAATGACAGTATACTTGCTAAAATTGATTCATAACCCTCACACAGATTTCTACATTATTCTTTGCTTGATTGATGAACTCATTCACAAAAGTACTCATTAATTTCCTTACTTTTCTGGTCCTCGATATCTCTAACGAAATTCAAGATGTTAAGAGCCATACCTGGATGCACAGGAACAAATGAAGGTAGGATCCAAAACTCGGGAGGCATCGGGTTGCTTCCAGACCAATCATAGACACCAAGTATCTGAAGAAAACAAATAATAATCGATACAACATGTAGTTATTATATAAAATTTCTTTTGGATCACTAGATAGATTACCGAAAGCCAAGTTTTGCCCCAAGAAGGTATGTAAGTCACACCACCATGGTCAAGAATCCATTGCCGGGCTCTTTTGCATGCATTCTCTTGTCCACCATCTGGACCTTCTCCAAGTATACGCATGCATATGTAATTCAGTGCGGTGCTGAACATTATGCTGTGACCTTCTATATGCAATCCCCACCCGCCATCTTCGTTCTACAGACTCGAAAACAAATGTTTTTCAAAAGAGTGCACAGAGAAGAACCCGCAATTGTTTTCTTGCGGAGCTACATGTACCTGGTGGCAGTAGATGTATCGGAAGATCTCTTTTCGATGATCTGCAGTGAATATCTCATCAAGATGTCCAGTGATGTAGAGACAGAATACCTATGGAAAGACAAAAATCAGAGAAGCAAATTCTGACAGGAAAAGTGTTATAATAACAAAATTCCCTCCAAAGCAAGATTTAATCAAATTAAAACCAGGGAAAAAAGAACAGAATTGAAAAAGGGAATCTGAATAAATTGCAGAATTTGCACAAAACAGATGGCAGGATGAGCAGTTGCATCAAAACATTTTGCGGAAAATCAAGGAAAGAAGCAGAGCATGTCCAGGGATTCAATGAGAACAAACAGAGAAATTTGTGCATAAAAGAAAGTTTTCTTGTTCTGGTCAAAAGCTTGAGTTGCACTATTCTCACAGACAAATCAGGAAATATGTAGTATACAAGAAAGCAACTATAGCAGGATACTTAATCAATTCTACGGCTAAATTCTTGTGTAAAGACTGCAACTCAGACAAGAATTTGTATGCAGATCTGTTGATGTGATGTGGAAACATATAGATCAGATATACAAGAGTTGAGCTTCTGCTGAGGCTAAGAAGCTTATTCTTCCTCCAACCATACCTTGTGTCAGTTGAGAGTAAGAAACACTTTAGACTGACTATAACCTTGGTGTATCAACAAGGAGGTATATCTAACTCTCACTTCTATTGTGATTTTCGCAAAAATATTATTACTACATGGATCATAATTTTTCATTTCAACAGGGGCTGTGATTCCTACTTTAATCTACCATTACCTCGCCCAACAAAACATACAAGGATATGGGATGAACCAGAAGACATTTACCAATGGGGGAAGGAAGAACAATGGACCAGCGTTTTCTGCTGGCCAGTGGCCATCATCAGCCTGCAAGGCCGAGAAGAAATGGACCCCTCTCCTCACTGCATCCGTTACTGCCTCGTATGTTATTTTCAGAGCATCTTCCACCTTCACCTGCGGTATCGCTTGCTTGAATTTCTTCTCCTTAAGAAACTGCAACAACATATTCCAAATAAAACTTAGCCCTTCAAGATTTAACGGCCAAAGAGTATTTACATTTTACTTTCGCTAAGCTATTGATCCTATACAAACCTATACGATCCAACACCAGACACTCATCGGTTTTTTTTTTTGGGTAACGGTTTCCTAGGCCGAGGCCCAAACTAATCTCGGGGTCAGGAGCCAGCCATCTGATTTGAATTATGGACTCTCTCCCAGCCTCGGTTTCGAACTCGGAGCGGAACAATGCTTTGCGCTCCCGTTTCACCGGTTGAACTACCCAGATTGGGTAACACTCATCGTTCTACGGTATAAGCACACACATGCACATTTTATTCTTATGCCTATATGTCATGCAATGATCGAACAAAGGCTTTCAATTGCCTTCTCTTCCTCTATGATGGATGGAACACAAAATCAAGAGCAACAGTTGATATACGACATGAAGCACATTGTAGTGGCTACATGATGATGTTTGTTTCCACTACCTTCTCTTCATCTCCAAATTCCAGTGAAATTAATTCGAGATCTGATTCGAACATGTCGACACTGGCATTAAGTCGAACACAACCAATACGTACCGATGATTTTGTCGGTACCCATCTCGACACCGCCATGACCACGCAAAATCGTGCCGTAAAGATCGATCATAGAACCCATGTGGACCATTTCTCATACTCATGTTCGGAATTTGGAATAGAAAAAAAATATTTTTTCCGGCGTGATAGTTGGGGAATACCGGTTAGGGTTCGAATCTCTCTCGAGAGAGAGAGAGAGAGAAAACCACCACTTCCGACAGAAGACACAGGAAACGACATGGATGCAGTGCAGTCTGCAGAGCTGACCTCAGGGCATGCTTTCCAGGGGAAGTTAACGGGTAGGGCAACGGCCGTTAGACGTTGGGTTAACGGCCGTCACTTTTCAAACCCATCAAAGGGCCTTTAACTAGGAAAGAGTTTAAGCCCAAAATAAAACGGCCCAATAACAGACCAGAGGTTCATTACACTTGTTTGGCGATTAGGAAAATATTATGAATATGTAGTTTTATTTGTTTTTAAATTTTTAAATTTAAAAATATTATGAATTTCGAATATTGAAAAATATTCTAACTCCTTTAAATGAATTATTGGACAGTGCAATGCCAAAAAGTAACAATATAATGGATATGCAAAAATGCGGTGAGGATTTAATGGAAAAGAAAGTGTAGTCGTGAGGCTTTGGTTATCGACGTTTTGCATGCATGAGAGTTTCATGGAACTGAATTTCTATACGATACTTAGACGAATTTAAATTGGATTCCTTTTTTTCTTCTAATAAGGTTTTATGATTATATTTTTATTTTGGTTTTACCACTCGAAGATGATATTATATTAATAATATCACATTCATATTATATAGTTGTTTGGTTAATGGTTCCATAAAAAATATATATATCAAGGAATGATATAATTAAAATCGAGCAAACATATATAGTTTTAAAGAAAATATATGTATATTCTTACACTGAAGATACCATAAATAATGGACCGAACTTGAATCATGCTTTGTGGCCAGCCTTGTAAGTTGCACATTATAATGCATGGTTTCCGACGGACAACATATAGAATGATATCAAACATAATGAAAAGTAACAAGTGAATATATATAATCACAAACCAATGAAATTAATCTAAATTAACAACAAAATTAAATTGGTACATATGTATATAGTATTTCAGCATGTATATTTACCGTGTATATATATATATATATGGACGGGTGCATGGTTACTTACAGTACATAGTATATGTGTTGGAATGTTTAAAAAAAAAAGAAAGGAAAAATCTCAACACCCGAAATATTGTGTGAAAATAGAGAATTTGCAATATCTGTATATGTGTGTGTATATAATGCATAATTAATAACCAAGGAAATAATTAAATTTATAATAATTGTCCTGGATATTGATAGTAGCCAAGGATGTAGTCGATTGATGAAAATATTAGTTAATACCCGTTATCGAAATCAATTGACGATAAGTTTTTAAAAACCCTAATTTCAAACTGCATGCAATTGTAGAACCTATAATTCACCGATCTGGATATGATGGCCTCTTAAAATCGAAAGCTATTGGCTTTTGGATCAAAATGATTTGCCATAAAGATCTATATATGTATATGTACCTGCATTCGCCATAAGAGATCACTACTAGCTTTGACTCGAGAACGGTTATCGTAGAAATTCCGGCGAGCGTCCTCCACGGCGTCTCGTTCCTCCGGTGTACCGGCGTCTGGATCATAGTCCCAAGTTTGTCGTCCGAGGAAGTTGTTTGTGCTCTTCAAGTACGGATCCTCTTCGTCTCCCTCGGCAATCTTCAGCTTCCACATATTTTGCTTTTTTTTGTTGTCTAAAAGTACATTTGATTCCAATACATATATACACACATATACATATATATATATATATGTATATGTGTGTGTGTGTGCCAATAAAAAAAGAAGAGTAGTATGCTTAATCGATACATATATACACGTGCACACATACGTACGTACATAGTTCGTGTGAAGCATGCATGTATTTCTTCTCTTGCCTTTTCATATGATTTGCATTTTGCATTGCTCATTACGTTAAAAACACGTTGTACCATGGAGCTCATGGAATTAATCAATCGATTAAAAAACTCAAACATATATTTCACCCTAATAACTTCGAAAATATCTTGGAATTTGTTAATATTTTTTTTTCATTTTGTTTTCACCAACACGTACAGTAAATTTATAATTCCTACATTATAATATATAAATATATATGAGTTATGGTACCAACGCACACAGTGGGACACACCTCTATATATTCTGAAGGGGTTTGTCGGGATAGAGAAAACTTCGATGCCCATTATACGATATGAATAATATTAGAGTTTAATGTGTGTACTCCTCGGAATTAGACGTTAATTTCAGCCAAAAAAAATATATTTTTTCCCGAACGTTTCCTGTCTGAAAATGAATCTTGTAATAATAACAATAATAATAATTTAGAAATAAGAATCATCGGTGTATCGACGCGAAGAAGAAGAAAGATCCTCCTTTAGTTTCATGCTCGACCGTTGGACCAACCGTACCAACGACTCCACCACCTCCGACATCGGTGGTCGGAATTCCGGCTCCGTCTGTAATTGCATATCACTCATTCATTAGTTTCTTTAAAAACCTAAAAGGATGAAGTGACAAATGTACAAGGGTAGTATAGTAATTTGCAACTATGGCTTATCTTTAGGATTCCCTATTTATTGCATCTATATATATATATATAATACGATATACATACCTTAATAAAAAAAATATACTGAAAAAACCCTTTTACCTAATAATAATAATTCGGTTTGAGAACCCTAGACTAACGTCGATGATACAAAACGTAGGAAAATCCAATCGTGTATATATATATTGTATTATAGATACGATACGTGGTGAAAACATAGTTATAAATGACTACACTACCCTTGTAAAGCGTCGTACATGTACGGACCTGTACGCAAAGGGCTATAATATCGGCGAACCGGGAGAGCGATTTCGGAGGGTAGAGGCCGTGCAAAGCAGGATCCGCCATCGTCGATAACGCTTCTATGTCGTGAAGTTGCGGTGTCGCCCACCCTACTAACGATCTTTCCGATCTCGGCTTATTCCTGACAAAAACAAAACGTAGAAATAAATGCCGATATTTGCAAATAAAGCGTAACGATTTTGGCGAAAAAATCGGACTCACGGGTCGTAGGGACATCGGCCTGAGAGAAGTTCGAGCATGACGACTCCGAAACTAAAGACGTCGCTCTTCGGTGTGTAAGCCGAGGGGCTCTTGCATTCTGGTGCGTTGTATCCTTCTCCTAGGTTTTGGCTCGTTCTCTTTGATTATAAAAAGTATTATAATCATGTTAATATATGATCTTATGTTATGTTGTGTTTTAACGTTATATATGATTTTTTTTTTATAAAGCTTACTAGGTGAAAATTGGACAGGCCATAGTCGGAGAGACGAGGATTGAGCTCTGCGTCCAACAAAATGTTCGAAGACTTGATGTTCTTGTGCACTAAAGGTGGCGAACAAGCCTCGTGAAGGTACCTATAAAACGCCGAGCGCGGAAATGAAAACACGATTGATGAATCGCGAATAAACAAGCTGCGTTTGCGTTTTTAGACTTACTCGATGGCTCGAGCGGTTCCCAACGCGATTCTGATCCTTGTGTTCCAAGTTAACGGTTTGCTGAACCGATCCGACAAGTGAAGGAACTCGTTCAGAGAACCGTTTCTGAAGTACTCGTAAACCAACATGTTTTGCCCTTTTTCCGAGCAGTAACCTACGACCTCAGCTATGTTCTGATGTCGAATCCTTGAGATTCCCGTCACTACGTCCGAAAATCCTTCCGATTTCCCCGATTCGAACTGTCGACTGAACCGATCCGACAAGTGAAGGAACTCGTTCAGAGAACCGTTTCTGAAGTACTCGTAAACCAACATGTTTTGCCCTTTTTCCGAGCAGTAACCTACGACCTCAGCTATGTTCTGATGTCGAATCCTTGAGATTCCCGTCACTACGTCCGAAAATCCTTCCGATTTCCCCGATTCGAACGAGGAACTATCGATCTTCTTCACCGCGAGGGCCTGCATCATCGGAGAAATCAGTGGACAGTCGTTTCGATCACCGGAAAGGTTCAATATGCAGATCAAGGAGTGTTTTTAGTTAACTCAGTACGTACCCTTCCATCGGGATAACTTGCCCTATAGACTCGTCCGATCGATCCATGGCCTAAAAGGTTGCCAGGTGAGAAGTTTTCGGTTGCGTCTTGCAGATCCGAGAGCTCGAATTCAGCGATTTTAAACGAGGCGTTCCGCTTTGCTTTGAGACGGTTCGCAAACTCAGCTTCGTTTAACGAAATGGCTAGAGATGAAACTGAATTCGCCCCTTTTGATTGTGACCGGTGCATGGAATCATCACCGGAATCTGCAGATTTCCTACCTGTATCATACCGCCATATCTCAGTTAGTTACTTGCGAAACAAGTAACATCCCTATTCAGTTACTTACGGAGGGAGTAAAGAGTTACCGTTGTACTCTTGGCCGAAATCGATGCGTAGCTCTTGAGAAGATCCGTGAGAAGCGAGGGACGTGAACTTCCGGCTATGTTGGCTATAACCTTCGTCGATGAAATGCAGCGAGGGAGACGATTTCTTCTTGGAGATGAGAGCGATCAAAATCGCTATCAATATGAGAACTCCGATGCTTGCTCCTGCTATCAACAAGCCGCTCACCGGGGGTTTACCTCCTCCGCCTTTAGAATCAGAGGTTTTCCGGCCGTAATTAGAGCCTGGCGGCGGCGGAGGAGCTTCTCCGGCGGACCAATCGTTCCCTCCCGTACTGCCAGAATCGACATAAGACACGTTGTACATTTATCATTTGTTTAGGAAAATCGCCAAAAAAAAAACACTGATTTTTTCACGGAAACCAGATCTAAGATAGAAACTGGAGTTTCAAGTTAGGGCAAAACTGGAGTTCCAGCCCCCGGAAACTGTTTCTTGTTCAGAAAGAAACAAAACCATCTCTTCCTGCATTGTTACAAAAACTAAAAACGATGTCATTTTTAAAGTAACGAAATTTCACTAGCTGAATTACGTTATTTGGGTCAACTTTTATCCGTGATTACTTGCTCAAATGGTACGGGAGGATGATTAAGGTGAACAAATCGTGTGACTTGGTATACACGTCTTGTGTTCTGCAACGAAAGGAGACTGCCGAGCCGATGAACTTACAGTAGACTATCGATGTCCTTCAGCTCGTTCGGGATCCATCCGCTGAACTGGTTGTCCTCGACGTTCCTATCGTCACAGAGAGAAAAAAACTGAACACTCGGCTTCGAAAAATTTCAGTATAACCACCATTGAATTCATGACTATATATGATGAAGTGAAATGCTTACAAGTCATCAAGTGGGAGGTCCCTGAGCATATTAATGGAGCCTTTGAACTTATTCTCCTGTAGATGCCTTGAGACAGAATTGAAATCCGTTTTAGCAGAAACGTGACAGGAGAGAGAGAGAGAGAGAGAGAGAGAGAGAGAGAGAGAGAGATTTGAGGGAAACAAATGGGGGTTCAGGATTAAAAGAGGAGGAAGAGAGAGAGAGAGAGAGAGAGAGAGAGAGAGAGAGAGAGAGAGAGAGAGAGAGATTTGGGTTTCAGTTCTTGGTCCTACTTACAGTTTCTTGAGGCTCGTCAGATTGGCGAAACTCTGGGGTAAGTTTCCTGAGAGTTGATTAAACGATAAGTCCCTACGTAATCATAAGATTTTTGACTGTTCAGTTAAAACTGCGATTCTCCCAACATTCTGTACGTAAAATTCCACAAGAGGAATGTACCTACAGAGATTCGAGCTTCGAGAGCTTCTGAAACATATCCTGTAAATCCCCTTCGAGCTTGTTGTGCCCTAGATTGCTTCGTTCGTTGAACATGATCCGAATCATTTGATTTACCGAAATGAATCAATATGCGAAACCCTAAATTTACACCTCCAGTAGAAACGTGTATATATGTCACGGCCATGGTTGATTACTTACACTGACTGGAGATGATTCATCTGAGACAACGAATAAGGCACGTTCCCATCAATCTCGTTTTCTGAGAAATCTCTGCATCCGGGTTATGTAAACACTCGTTTCAGTTAACCAGATTACAGGAATGAAGAACAAGAGTACGGAACTGATATCTCCAGTCTTACAGATGAACGATATTGGGCGGGAGTTGGTACGGCATGTTCCCACTGAGCTTGTTCTTGCTCAGATCACTGTACTATCGCCAAAACAACGAAACGTTTTCGTTCGTATCGATATCAGATCGAAAAAAAAGAAATCAGGGAAAATTTAACGAAAACTGAAGAGAAGAGAGATCGGATTCTCACAGGGTTGTGAGAGACTTGAGGTTGCTGAGCTGATAACCTAGAGATCCACTGAGCTGGAGTTCTGATAACTGTCTGAAAATCATGGCATGAAGAAGGAAAAAAAAAAGGTGATGATGACTTGCGATGCAAGTAAAAGAGTTTTAAAAGGAATTCTGTGTATTACATTTCGATAACTTTGTTGCCGTCGCATTTGATACCGTCCCATGCATCGTTGCATGGATCTCCGCCGCTCGATTTCCATCCTTTCAGCTTTGAAGGTGAGTTCAAGCTTGTGAACATAACGTTCAATGCTGAAACTGTAACATTTTTTAAGAATCTCGCATTATTTTTTTGTTATAAACCAATGATTAACGTAGAAATTTCCAACCAAACCAGTCTTAAAATGCAGAACTCAAAGCCACAAAAAACTAACAAAACAGCAGAGATTATATGGGTAATAATAATCTCTATAAAGATTGATATTTTCAGACATCTACATTAATCTTGAATCAAGAAAATTTCAGAATATCGGATAAACGCCATCCCTTACCTTCTTGGCTATCGGTTTTTGCACGAACAAAGGCCACGAAAACAGCGATAAAGACGGCCAAGACCGGCGAAACTCGATCGGTGGGCAACATGTCGATGATTCCGGTCAAGACAGAAGGGAAAGGAAATGTCTGGTTAGGGTTTGAGTTTTCAGGGTTGCTTCATGGGCAAGAAAAATTGCAGGGAACTTGATGAGAGAAGGAAATGGCCATTAAAATTAATTGGAAAAGATTACAAATTTCTGCGGCTTTTTTTGGCCGAAATATAATTGTTTACTAAATTTGCTAATTTTTTATTTTATTTTTCTTATGAGGTCATGAGGAGAGAGCGAGAGATGCGCGAAGACGAGGATAATCCCATGTTTAACGGAATCAATTAATGCACGAAATCACCTTGAAATGTACGTTTAACCATTATTTTTCAATTATATAAGTCTCTATATATATATATATGAAAAAATTTTAAAAAATTATTGGAACACACATAAAATTAATACTAATTTTTAGTGATTGTATATAATATAAATTAATTTTAAAAAAAAAACTAATTTCAATTACAATGGAGTAAGTGATCACAATACCACGAATATAGACCCTTTTTTCATTAAGGGAAAAAAAACATATATCGCAGTTCTAAAAGTACCGAAATCATGGAGACAATCATACAGTTGATGTTTTATAAGATTCATGTCCACAATAGTAAAGTAGACAAAAAAGAAACAAGGGAAAAGGAAAACTGGACCACGTAAATAAATATTCTGGACTGTTGTGATGCATTAAATAATTGAAATTAACGAGCAACGTATTTTTTAGATTTTCTCGTTATATCCTTGATAGTTATTGAATTTTATAGAAGTCTTATTCATATCTCTCTTTTTTTTTTCATTTTGTAATGTTACAATTTGAGAAAATACCGCACATTTATAAATTTTAAGTATTTTAATGCATCCGACCCTATATATCCCTAAAAACTTTCAACTATTTTTTTTTATGAAATAAAATTCAACTATTAGAGATATACATGTATATATATGTGTGTGTTTTTTAAGGCTAGAAGTGGAAGCTGCTTTAATGGAGATTCCCCACTTTCCTACCATCTTTTTTTTTTATTCCTTTATTTTTTTTTTCTGAATAGTTCTTACATTTGGCTAACAGTAATATCCTCATTTATGCCTTTTTTTTGGGTGTTTCTGGATCAATTAAAAAAACTTAACTTCTCCTTTTGTAACTTCTCCTCATTTATGCATACATACGTACATACATACATACATACATACATACATACATGCATGCATGCATGCATACATACATACATACATACATACATACATACATGTATGTATGCATGCATACGTACATACACACATGTATCTTCACATCTAAGCAAACAATTACTTACAAGATATCAAGCATTTTGGTATCTTGATTAAAACCTTTTCCTTCTTCCTTTATAGCATCTCGTGCGGTATGACAGTGTTGAAAATGACAAATAGCTAAATCTCTCTCGCATTTATTGAGCTTCTATCTCTGGCCCTCTATTCAACGCACATCTTCACTTATGCCATGCTCTCTCTCTCTCTCTCTCTGCCGTGTTCTTCTTCTGGTCATACAGGACTTATTAGCTTGGCATCGAAGTCTTTAATGCAAAAAAACACAGTCTCTAAGCTTCCCCAGTCTCATAAAATCTCCTGTTTTAAGGTTCTTGATCTGAAATTCGATCCTCTGAACCCTTCTGAAACTCTTGGAGCTGTTCTTGATCGATCAAACCCTCAAATCCATGGGTCATAAGATGCCTGGGACTCTGCCTGCGTCTCAACAGTTAAGAATCTCTCCGCTCTTTCGTTTGTTCTTATGACGTTTCTTCTCTGTTTCCCTCTCATTCTTCAGCCAATTTGCTCCACAGAACGAATTCTTTATCCAAATTCTTGCAGTCCAGACATGTTCATCTGCCAAAGGTTAGATTCCTCGATTTCGGCTGCTCGTTTCTGAAACACGGAACACGTCGGTTCGTTGCATGTTTTTCAGATTTTCCATCGTTAACCAGTTTCAGTGAAGGCAATAAAAGTTTCAAGACTTCTTCTCTTCCTTGTCGCTAAATTTCGCTCTTTGGACTGTAAATTTTCTGAAACTCGTAGGTAAAGAATCTTGCGAGAGAGATCACCGATCTTGTATCCTCCAAGAACAAGAAATCTCACGTTCACAGATTCAAGCTCGAACAGGACGTAAGCCCCCTCCTCTATAGACATCTCACTGTTATGAATTACAGCAGTGTCGAACTTGTAAAGCTCAGAAATCCACTTCCGTATGTTTTGTCTGAAATCGATTATGACCAAAAACAGGTAGAGAAACTACGAGAGCGGCTAAGGCAAGAGACAGAACTCCATGTTCTGCTTCAGAACGCAACTACTACGACAAAGACTGAACTATCCTGTTCATCTTCTCTCCCATGTCATGTACGTTTTCTTCTTCCTGTGTTCGTTCTGACGTTTTCAAGTTTCTTGCTAAATGTTCCAAAACCCTTTTTCAGATTCAAGATCTTCTGTCCAATATCGCGGTTTTGGATGCTCGGGTTTCGATGCTCGAACAAGAGAGAATTTCTCTGCATTTCCAGATAATTCAGGAAAGAAACGAGAGAAGGCTCGCCCAGTATCACCTGAGGCATTCCGTTTCTCAATCGGTATGCAGTTACGATGCTGTGGGCCAGAATTCTGCAGATTGGAATGAATTTATCGCCAATAATGGAAGTACTTCATGTGATAAATATCGAAGAACACTGGCTAGAATCCGACCATCCAAAGGCTTGGGGACTGATAATAATGCTAATGAACTGTCCAAGGAGATGGTAAGATGCATGAGGAACATATTTGTGTCGCTCGGAGAGTCATCTTCAACAAGATCCAAATCTTCTGCACGAGAAAACCGTGGTTTCTCGCCTCGGGAACAAGCTTCGCCGTGGAAATCACCTTCGGAACGCTCGAGGAAGATCCCGAGGTGGGTTCAGAGCCCACGGATCGACGTTCAGAACAACTCAGATGTCTTGGCGACGGAAAATAACGTCTTTGATCCGTATAAAGCCCAAGGAAAGTTGAGTTGGGCCGATATCGGGAGTTACAGAACTGCAACTGAAGTGTCTTGGATGTCTGTTGAGGACAAACGCCTCGAATATGCTTCAGAAGAGCTCTTTAAGTTCAGGTTTGATGAGTCACGTTTATCTGGTTAGGGTTTATAGCTTCATAATCTCGATGTCTCAAAAAATACGCAAGATTCTGATTCTGAGAGTTCTCACAGAATCCTCGTGGAAAGACTTGCAAGAGTGAATCCGACGAGCTTGAGCCATAGCGAGAAGCTCGCCTTTTGGATCAACATATACAATGCTCTGATCATGCACGTAAGGCCCTTCTGGATCTCCTTTCTTAACGATCACCGGAGTTTTTGTGGATTAGGGTTTTACAATCAATACGTTTCTGTTTTCGATCTTATCGATGAAAGGCGTATTTGGCATACGGAGTCCCGAAATCCGACTTGAAGCTCTTCTCTTTGATGCAAAAGGTTTGCTCACACGATCAAAACCGGTCTGAAATCTCCATTTCCTTGCATCACAAACCAGTCTTCTGATTTCGGACTTTTTTCAGGCTGCGTATACAGTTGGAGGGCATTCATACAGCGCGGCAGCGATCGAATACGTGATTCTGAAGATGAATCCGCCTCTCCATCGGCCTCAAATCGTAACAATCTCGTTATATCCGAACTGAATTTTATTACATTTCCAGATGTTTTCGCTCAAAATTCTCTCCAAAACCTGCAAAATTTCAGGCTCTGCTCGTCTCCCTTGTCAAGCTTAAAGTATCAAACGAACAGCAACTAGCCGCCATTGATGCACACGAACCGCTTGCATCGTTTGCTCTCAGCTCGGGAACATACTCCTCACCCGCCGTAATTTCTCAGACCGATCAATCTTTACGCTTATATGTCCGAACCCGAAACACAGTTTAATCAAACAGTTCAATTCTCACACTGTTGCAGGTGAGAATATACACGGCGGAGAATCTGAGAGAAGAACTGGAAGATGCACAGAGAGATTACGTTCAGGCATCGGTTGGCATAAGTCCAAGGGGAAAGCTTCTTGTCCCGAAAATGCTTCACTGTTTCGCCAAGAATCTCGTGGATGACGACTCGGAGATCGGATTGTGGATTTCGGGGCATTTGCCGCCACGACAGGCGGCGTTTGTCGAGCAATGCGTCACCCAGAGACGACGGTGGAGTTTCCTAGGTTCGAATAGCGGTAACTGCGGTGTCGTTCCATTCGATTCGAGGTTTCGGTATCTGTTTCTTCCGTGACAAGGCATCTCCAATGTCATAGGGTTTGATCAATGTAGGGTATGAATTGTTATGCAATGTGGTTTTGTCGTTGTCAAAAAGGAAGCGAATGCTACAAAACTGGAAATACGATATTGAACATACGATGTCACAAAATGATGCATTTTCATCATTTAAAGGACCAACCCAGTTCGTATCCCCATCTAGTGGGGGTGCTGGGGAAGGGAATATCCTAATGAAAAAAAATACGGTATCATATAATTCGCATAAACTCGGACAAGAAGGGGGGAGCCATAAAAATTAAGCCAAGAAGCATAAGAGTGGCTGCTGCTAATGGATACTCATCTGTTCGAGCAAACCGGCCTGAGTCTTCTTCAGGCATTGATGGAAGAAATGTCTATTTTCCGAGAAGCTTGGACAATGTTCTTGTTTCCCGGGAATGAGTTACGAGAGATGTCGACAAGGGCTTTGAAACTGTAAGGTTCGTGCATCGACAGCTCGGAGAGGACCTTCCGATTCAACTGGACGTTCTCCTTCATCAGACCGTGCATGAAGTTTCCGTAGTTAACCTGTTTTTTTATCGAACAACAATAAGATGTTAGGGTTCTGCACATAGAGATGATGAACCAATTTCTCGACCCGTCTCTCTCAGTTCTTCAAGAAGACAGGAAATGAATTTGCATAAGCCATGGAAGTTCAAGGCTTGGGAAGATTGTAGCAATAATATGAGATTTCTCAGAGATTAAAAACTCGCAATGGTATTACCAAGACTAGAACTCGTTACAAAAAAAAAAACTTGGCAAAATACAGATCAAGTTATATAACTTATACTCATGCAATGGAGCATATCTCGCATTAGAACCCGTTTCATTGTGTTGGTTTCAAAAGGAGTACTGCCACAAAGAATACTAACCATGGCATAACACCAAAGGCAATTCACCGCTTCTTTAGACACCTTTTAAACGGTAATAACATCCGGAATCTCGTTTGAAAAAAGCTCGGTAGATTACAGGAATCTGCTACATCTCATTAACAGGCAGGCTCCTAAGATAACTAAAGATATCGCAGAATACCCTGCACCGGCTTCTATATCCAACTCCCAAAAATCCCAGGATATGGAATCAGTTCTAGCCAGAGACAATTAAGATCAAGTGCATGTTCCCAACCAAACCCAGATTTCATTTTCTAGCAGACAAGAGAAAACTACGCGAGAGTTCGCTCCTCAAAGTTAAAGCCATGTAAGAGGTTCCTCCTCATATAATCCCCATACCGTTTTTTAACAACACAAGTAAAGTACACAAAGCTCAGTGACGACGACACATGTGATCCAGTTGAAGGTTTTGGTAAAACCCTAAACTCGGTGACAACATAAACAATAGTAAAATACACAAAAGCAGAGAACACAAACTAAATCAGCAACCTTTTTCGATTTTTTCCTTTTGTTGGAGAAACCACGCATTCGATTTCAGCTAACAATAACCTTAAACCCTACGCCAAACTTCGAAAACTAAATATGAACAGACACAACCAAGTCAGCATCATCTTGAGCAATTCATTTCCAGAATACCCGGATCACAAGAGTCACGAGCCATAGACCAAAACACCATCAAGCCATAGCCAGTCACCAGGAACAATCAACATCCGAAACGTAAAACCCTAACCCCTAATCGACGACGAAATCGAGCAAAGGAAATGCGTACCCCGTGTTGACGAGTGCCGGCGTTGATGCGCTGGATCCAGAGAGACCTCATCTCACGCTTCTTGTTGCGCCTGTCTCTGTAAGAGTACTGAAGAGCCTTCTCCACTCTCTCCCTCGCTATCCTTATGCAATTCTTCGCTCTTCCTCTGAAACCCTTCGCCAACTTGAAAATCTCCTTCTTGTTCATGATCTTTCTCTTCTTCTTCGTTGAGTTCCTACGACTGCTTCCCCTTCTTCTCTCACTGTGATTCAGTAGGTCCGTCTCCTCATCCCTTCTCGTATCAGCCCTTGGAGCCGCCATTGACGATACTTGCCGAAAGGCCCATTTAATCATCAAATAGGCCTTTACGGCCCAATGAGCCATTATTCATGTAAACATTGAATGGCCGCGGCAAATGTCACGAATTGACACGTAAGGGCCGCAGAGACACGTGTCCGTCTTCCACGTAGTAATGTTTTCCATTTATCATTTTCCCGGGAAACAAACAAGCCTTCAAAAACCAGAATTTTCCTTCTCTCCACCGAGATTTTAAGTGGCTCTGCTCTTCTCTCCATCTCAGATCCAATTGACGAAAAATCCAAGAGAGAAAATCTCCGCCATGAAAAAGGAATACAAAGAGGTCGACGTGGGGCAGGGCGAGTTGTACTCGCCAGAATACGCCATCAAGATCTCCACAGAAAACCCTAATAATTCGGAGGAAAAATCAGAGGGAATCGAATCGACGAAGATGAAGAAGGGGATGGTGGTGGGGCTGAAGAATTTGTCGGCGGTGAAGGATAAGGTTATTGAGAAACTGGCGGCGGCCGCCGTGCCGTCTGAGACGCTGGAAAACGCCAGGCAGTTTTTGGAGGGGGTGGTGAGGGAGGTGGCGACGACGGCGCACGGGCTAACGAAGGACGCGTTGCACAGGATTAAAACCCACCTCGTCGATATCCTCCCTTCTCTTTCCCCTGTCCTCACTAGAAAGGTGGGCCGTTCTTTTTCTTTTTAAACTAGATTTTATATACACTCGTGTCTTGAGTATTCAAGACTTGTATATATATAAAAAAAAATGCTAGAATATCCGAATTCGAGTGAAACTTGTATCGAAAAATTGTGAAGGATAAGGTTATTGAGAAACTGGCGGCGGCCGCCGTGCCGTCTGAGACGCTGGAAAACGCCAGGCAGTTTTTGGAGGGGGTGGTGAGGGAGGTGGCGACGACGGCGCACGGGCTAACGAAGGACGCGTTGCACAGGATTAAAACCCACCTCGTCGATATCCTCCCTTCTCTTTCCCCTGTCCTCACTAGAAAGGTGGGCCGTTCTTTTTCTTTTTAAACTAGATTTTATATACACTCGTGTCTTGAGTATTCAAGACTTGTATATATATAAAAAAAAATGCTAGAATATCCGAATTCGAGTGAAATGTTCGGGTGTGTGTGTGTTTTTGTTCTGTAATTAAATTTTGAATTTTATGTATTTGTAATATTGTTCCCAAGTGCTGTCCTTTTGAGTACATTTTTAACTTCAGATGTGTTCCGTAATTCGTGTGCATGCAGATGGTGGATGATGCGGAGAAGGAAGCCGACGGAGAGGCAGGCTCCAACAAAGAAGAAGAAGGAGGAGGAGGAGGAGGAAGCAACTCCAAGGAACATCGTCACCCATTTGTCTCTCCGACATCCTCGTTTTTCGGATCTCTTGCAAAGCCTTTCTCGAGGCTTTAGGGTATTTTTAACGCACGAATAATACAAACTGTTTATCCATGCAGAACGACATAATAACACCGTTTGATACAAGTACAAGATGGCAAACCTGCGACCGATCTCAGGCTTTTTTTTTCTTTACACGAACACAATGTTTTCTGATTCTCTCTCTTTTTTTAATTTACAGATTCATGATGATGCGTGCAGTATTCTGATGAACATTTTACTCATAAGAAGCAAAATGTAAAATAATTGCCAAAATCGTGTATATATAATTAAAAGCGAAATACAACATAACCAAAAAAGCGAGAGGGAGGAACAAAATATGACGTGAAGGCCCTCCTCCTCCCTCTGTTACTTTCCTTGCAAGAAACGTAATTTGTGAGGACCCCCCGACTTTTAGGTTAAACTCTGCCACCAGAAGAATGGCGTTTTACACATACACAATGCATCAGATTACCAAAAAAAAAAAAAAAAAGGGAAGAGAAACACAGCGAGAAAGCGTATAAAATCAAAGAATCACCAACCAGATGAAGCTACTGGACTGAGTCAGGAATCAGCAAATCTCGTTGCGGAAAACTAACCTGGAGATCATTGTCGTGTTAGCGCCTGCCGATTAAGATCGAAGGGTCTCCCCCCGTTCTGGGTTTTGTTTCATAAGTTGAAAGGAATGAATCCATCATCTCTCCCTGATCCCTGTCCATGAATCTTAAGTTTTATCCCGTGTAGCTGGCCAGCATTCCTCCTTCCTCCAAGGAGAATGAATGACCTCGGTGGCTGGCGCTCGGAAAAGAATAGATATGCGTTCTTGTCTCGATACAAAGTGAAAAATGGTATGTACAAAGCGATCTCAGCTGGAGTTTCCAGCCACTTCTGCAGCTCGTTGTCTCATCATCTCCATCACGGCAGCTCTTCGCCGTGAATCTGATTGCTGCTGCAGCCTTCTCAGATGCTCCTTCAGATCTCTGAACAAAAGAAAAAGTTTCACAATGATCAAAATACAAATCATATGTACCAAGTGTTCACTGCCTAAATCGTAATGTCGGCTATCCAGAAGAGATCTAATATAAGATTCCACATTCCAATGACATGAGATAAATTTATTAACTTGAGGAAAGAAGATGCAAATTCGATCATGATTTTCTTGAGAGATAGAAGCTATCAAATTGGAAACCCCAGAAATATTTGACAATAAAGGAGTTTCAGAAAAAATAAAGGACAGAGAGGTTTACAAAGTGTACCTGCAACGTGGTACATGACACTCGGACTCTTTGCAGGCCCGAGCATGGAGTTGAAGGAGATACCACATTTTCTTGCAAAGTACACAGCCTCCTGAAGCACGGACTTTGCATTGTATACCATGGCGGAATAGCCCCTTCACCTTTCGGCAATTCGGGTATTGACAATGAGGGGAACGGCATTGTGAGGCATGTACCAGAAGATCGAGCATTTTCCTTAGCTGCAATTTCAGTAAAAAAGAACGTTAAACATAGGTACAGATATTGCATATCTCATCTCCCATATTTGCACATCTTCCATTTTTACAGATTGCAAAAAAACCGAGCATTCGAGGAAAAAACCAGCCCGAATAGGATCTGATTCAGAAGAGAATGGAACATACTAAAAACAGCAAAGATAAAAACATAAAAGATACCTGCAAGACACGCAGTTGTCTGGCTTCTTTGTTCTGAGCGTTTTGATCAGCTAGAGATGGATGGTTTGTCAGCTTATGAGGATGACTAATTCCACCATCTTTGTTGTAACAAGAGTTACACACATCATAGTCAGGACAAACTTCACATCTCCAGCCTTGACCGGTTTCGATGTCGAGGTGACATACATTGCATGTTGTGACAAAGGCAGGAGCAGTTGGGTTATGTAGATGATAAAGCACCATCATCGATGAATGTTTTGCCCGCCTCAACGTGTCGTACTGATAATGGTTTCCTTGGCAGAGACTCAGGAATGCTTGCCTTGTATCGAAAAATTCGCTTTCGAGTATCTCATCTTTGTCCTTGGTATCTGCATTAACATCGGTAATCTCAAACTGCAAAAGCAATGCCACCACATCGTTAGAAGCAATGAAACAAAGACATGCCGGTTTGTGACATATAAAACGAAAAGTCAGCCGTTTTCTCGGATCCTTTTAACCGAAACAAGCACAAGAAACTCACAGGATACAGTGTGTGTTTATCTTTATGATTAGTAGGATGCCTTTCTCTGTCCTCGCGCTTTTGTTCCACCTCATAGCACCTGAAAGGTAGATGAAAAATTTAGCTATTGCAGAGTTCGAGCAAAAGAATGAATAAGAACATATAGCTTGTCCTCTTTCACAAAAAACACAATAAAAGAATTCTTACTTATCGCATATCTGGAAATTTTTGCACTGGCTGCAGACCCAACGATTTCCAGATACCATCAGTATACAACAATGAGTACAACAATGCTGCAAGTGAACCATGATAAAATCTTCCTTCATCGGGTGAATGGTCTCACCAAGCTGTAAAAAACAAGCGAGCAAAATTAAGAAAAACGAAAAATTTAGATAAACCAGCAGCAAGAATTATACAATTAAAGAAACAACTTTTCAAATATACACGAAAATAATAACCAATAGAATCAATCACGTACTTTATGCATTAGCAGCAGATCCTTGGACGCATTTCCAGAAAGATCAGACTGCCCAGATGCTTTTAGAGCCCTTTTTGTGATGGTTTTCTTAAGTGTTCCTTTCTTATTACCCTTTCTGCCATCTTCTTCTTGGCTCATTTGGTATATAAGATCCTCTGCGGCACCAGGCCAGTAGTCACCGTCAAAATATGGAAGCCTAGCTGCTGTCACCTTAGCTCTACATTCACCAGTTTGAATGAAAAAATGATCATATAGATTTGTAGTTTCCACTACAATGCTCTCCTTTGCAGCTTTCCTTAACATTGCTAAGTACCTGATAAGAATAAAAGCAATCGGAGGTTGTAAAAGTTTTACATACTAAACAAGCATTAAGAAGATCAACAAAAAGACAACTGGACTGACCACTCTCTTAGTTTGTCTGACTTTGGTGTCTTCTGAATTTCTGGATGACAATATAGGATGTAATCCTCACCCTTCAACGGCGGACAAGCCCATATGTAGCAGCTGGTGAAACCACGTAACTTGCAGTATTCGAGGTATCCTATCTGAAAATAGCATCGATCCACAGTATAGAACTCTCCAAATAACATAGGAACCCACATTGGATTGATAATTTGATATAGACCAGTACTTACCAGAATTTCATGGTAAACAAAGGTACGTAGCGCCTCTCCACTGACAGCTTTAACCTCGGGTCTGAAGTACTTTACAGAGTCCAAATACGAGAGATAAACACGGCGTTGATTTGGGAACAAAGCTTCAGATCCAAATTCTTGGACATACATTCCAAATAAGCATACTTCTACACCTTCAATCTTCTGGAACAACAGAACTACCTGGCAAAATAAAAGGGAGGCAGAGAATTGTGAAGCACACTGTAAGAGAAGGAATCCAAAGGTACATCACGTTTGATTTGATGTAAGTGCACATAGAATCCTTATTACCTTGGACTTGTACGGAAATTCTGTCGGACAATTATCTTCCCGAAAAATGTCAAGGAAACGGGGTTTGACTTCCAGCTTCTTGTCAACAGATGAAACAACTCTAACCACAAGAGCTTCAGCAGTAGGAATCTGTTGGTGTAAGTCCAACAAAACAATGAGAATCAACATGTCTGCTTCAGCCAAACAGATTTCTATTATCAAAGCCCTTCAGCAAATATATATACGATTAAAGGTTACACATCACATGAACGACGTGAAACCTTCAAAATTTCGTCAACAGATTACCTCATCATAGCTTTTTCCTTGGACCCTGGCTCTCTCCATTCTTTCATGCTTTAACCTCCTAAATAACCGCTGCTCTATATGGTCACTGAGTATTGTTCTTGGTAGGTCTTTCGCTCCAAGAACAGCGCTCTGAGGTAAAGGCTTTCTCTCACCTCTCTCCACCTCTGCAATATAGCAGTAAGGGCAAGTATACTCAGCTTGCCCCCCATCATTCCGCCGCCCATTAAACAAAGCACAAATTTGATGCTGCCAAGCTTCACATTTATCACATTGGACCCACTGCACATGATCACATCGAAGAGAAAACCATATTCAGAAACACCGTACAATAATGGAGATCAAAGACGGCACAACTGATTTAACAGGCTTACCCATTCTTCAGTCTCTTCGTCATTTTTCTTTTTCTCAAGTCTAGCTTTAGGTATAGCAGTCCCTTCCGCGAGTATGGTGTCTCCACGGGAATCATTATAACAGGGAATACAAAAGTAATGACGAGTGTCACCAGCTCCGACAGTGTAGTACATTGCATTTCTTTTGATGCGGCCACCGCAAGGGGTACAGTAAATAGGCGGTGGCTCAAACGTAAGCTTCTCCACAGCACATAATTGGCAGGAATTTTCACTCATCGAGTGCTCCATTGCTTGATTCTTTTCAGCTTTGGCTTTACTCTGCACGGAGATGGAAATAAAAGGACGATACATTCATCAACTATCAATAACTTAGAAATATTATGAATAAACAAATTTAACGAAACGGAGCATTGACCAATAGTTAAACGTTTTCCCAGTACATGGCAGTAGATCAAATCATCACGGAATGCAAATCCAATAAACAGCACATGGGCACTAATAAATGTTGTTCCTCTGTATATATCAAAAGTTAAGAAAGTTGAAAACCTGGCCAACCCACTGTCGAAGACCTCGAATATGTCCCCTCACTTGCTCCGGAGTGAACAATTCAGTTAGTGAAACCCCCTTTATCTTTGGTTTTCCAGACTTGGATGCAGGTTCCGGAGACTCTACCAAATTTTCTTTCTTAGGTGCTTCAGTTACCTTCTCAATTTTGCTAACTTCTTGCTTTGGCGAGCCACCAAACTTGTCATGTTTAACAGGTTCACTAACAAGCCTTTGCTTACGCATATTATCAGCGATATCACTTTTTGACTCTTTGAAACCAAATCCTGCTTGACCAGAAACATCAGGAACTTCAACTTTCACTTCCAAGCTCTCAGGCTTTGACGGTTCACCAACATCGCTGGGCCTGAAATCCTTCCTTTCAGCCTCCTGCGATGATTGTACTTCTCTTACTGATACAACTGAGCTTTTGCAATTTTTCACCTCCGTAACAACTGCTTGAGAAGACTGCTCCACCTTCAACCGTTTCATTGAAGGTTGCAAATTGTCTGATATACTAGCACTAGGTGAAGGACCAGAAATTGATCCACCTGAATCATTTGATATTCCAGCTCCATTCACTGTAATTTCTGCACTGTTTTCATTTCTTAAACGGGCAAGGGCACGTGCATTTGCCTGTTGCTGGAAGTAGGCATTCACAGGAACACAGACAGGGCACTGTGAGTCCTTGCAATTCTTATGGTGATTAATCAATGTCTTCGAGGCACGGCAACGGGGATACTGACATTGAGGTACATTACAATTTTTCATGTGTATCCACAAATTCTGAACAATGATGCAGTTCGGATCTGGGCACTTCCCTTCAGGCGCTTTGCAGGAGCGTGCATGACGCAGAAACAGGAGCCATCTCTGTTGGTTTCTAAACCTGGGATCTTGATTTATGGTTCCGTATCTACATGTGGAACTAATAGGATTTTGTGGGTTATGAGATCCAGATGTCGGACCAGAAATATGATTTTGACCAATAATAGATCCTTCTGAAGACAGATTATTGGGTTGAGCTTCATCCATTCCGGACATTCTCTGACAGAAATCCTCCTGAATGTACCGTTCATTTGACATGCTACAAGACATCTGATTATTTTCCTGTGACTGGGAATGCCACTGGCCCCGCATACCTGATTCTGACTTCGGTTGGACAGAGAGGTTGCTAAAATTGTTAATAGAGTCTGAGCCCATATTCTGTGGACGCAACATCTGCTGAATCTGTTGAGTACTTTGAGGAAGTGATGAGCAAATATCATTCTGACTAGCTGGAACAGAGAGAAGCTGAGCACCAGCAGGACAATCTTCCATAGAATTCTGAAACTGGTTTTGGAACTGAGATAGTTGGAACTGCTCAGATGCTTGCGAGTGCATAACTTCACTCGGGTTTTCCATCCCTGGTTCATGTTTCACATGAGTAACCAGGCCAGAAGCCACCTGAGGCTGCCCAGAAACATCATTGCTCACAAATCTTTGTTGCTGGCTCTGCTGCTTCAGTTGGCGTTGATGAAGAAATTGCTGTTGCTGTTGTTGAAACTGATTAGACTGTTGCTGAAATCGATTAGGCTGGTGATGAAATTGTTGCTGTTGATGTGACTGCAGAAAATGTATCTATTAGAGGGAGAGGAGACTGGAAAACCCACTCTCTCAAACTGATCAATAGATTGATGTCTCAGGGGTGAACCTCACCGATTTGGATGATTACTTACCAGTGAAGAATTGGTTTTGGACACAGACTGCAAATTTGATGTATTGATGTTCTGAACATTTGTCATTGTCCCCGCAGATGATACAGCTCCATAGAAATTTCCCGATCCAAAAGGGTCAGGGTTGGTTGTGCCATATCCTTCAACTGAAAATAAATAATGCTCTCAAGATTCCGATAAATTGACTATTGCATCAATGCAAGAAATTACTATGAATATGAAAACTGGACAGACAGAAGCAGACAGAAAGAAGATAAAAAAAAATTACCTTGCACTCCCGAGCGTTGAAGGTTATCAAAAGCCTGATGTATACTTCTGGGGGGGTTAGTGAAAGATGGACCTGAATCTACACTTTTTGAATTCATCCCCATAACACCATTTAAGGAGTTATTCGCCACACCAGGCGGCTTTTGTTGCATGCCAGGCCTAAAGCTAGCACCCATTTGACTCCCGAGGTTGTGCAACATACGGCTATTCTGACCACCAATTTGCTGTCTTTGTTGCTGCTGCTGCTGCGGTTGAGGCACCATAGTAGACTCAACAGCAGAAAAACCACCATTGTTGTTGGGAGTTTCAACATTCATGTAAGACTGCCCACTACCGTTGCTATTGTTATTACCACTGTTGTTGACGAATCCTGGGGTAGGTATCATCTGGCTAGACATTCTTTGCACACCCATCGATGCAATATTCCCACTAGAACCAAGAGCAAAGTTGCCTGATGACTGCTGGTATCCATTAGACAGATTACCTACAGTTGATAGGTTGAGATGTTATGCGCAAACATGAGAAAAAAGAACTTTTTGAACAATTATCTAAGATAAAAACCACTGAAAGAACCTCCATGCATGCCGCTAGCAGCTAATAGACTTCCAGTGTTCATAGCTGATGTTGCAATGTTGTTATTTCCAACCAAGTTAGTATCCACAGATGAAGTAGCCATCATATTCGGATTCCCCCCACTGTGTGGTAATCCAGGAGTAGGTATCATTGTTCCAACCGAAGAAGAAAAATTAGCATGTCGCTGAGTGTAGTTATTCAACTGTCTGCCTTTGATTAGGCTTGTCAGCCGAGATTCTAGGGTTTGTGGGTTCATGTAATCCTCCTGCAGCATAACCCGTAAAGTTCCACAAATAAAAAATACACGCCAAGAGACAGGAACCAACAAAATGAATTAAATGGCAATATATCAAAAAGCATCAACCATTCTTGTCGGATTTCTACAGCAAATGTCGCTTCCTATACGCTGAAGATTACTCGGGTTACTTTCCTTAGAACACATTAGTAGTTTAAAATACCTTTGTGACAGCCATCTTAAACAGCCCCTCCTCTAGCCGTCTAGCAACATCCATATACTTCGCCTTCGATGCATCATCAGCTGGAGATGGCTGTCGTTGCTGTAGAATGTTGAAGCTACAAAGAACAAAAGGAATAACAGGTTCAATTAGCAAAAATCTCATGGGAGGCATCCATTGAGAAACTCTGAGTCTCTGACACCAATATATACTCCCTGAGACAGTCAATCAATTTACATAAAAAGTCTGAAAAAAATCAACATGATAACACTAGAATAAAAACAGATATAATTTTAGAAGTAGAAAACACGGAAAGTATTGGATCAATCACATTTTTGAAACATAGTGGATATGCTGCTAAAAAACCCTCAAACTTGCTCCCAACCCACATTTAGATGCCATAATTTGATCCATCACATTGCCGATGGCAACAACCAGGCCCCATATAACAAGAAAGCCAATGCCATTTCTCTAAATGGGTATACCATGGTGGAAACATTGAAAGGGGGTAGATACATAGATAGAAAGCTGAACACTTACATCTTGCTTCGCATGTACTGTCGAAGTTTCAAAATTTCATGGTCCATGGGAACAACAGTGCTACGTGAAGGCCCGACACCGCCACCGGCAGGACCAGCACCAACACCAACACCAGCACCCCCAGCTAAATTCTGCATTTGGGAGTTCCCATTCTGCTGGGCCATTGTCCCCTGATTCGGAACCTGCCCAGATATCTGTCCCGACATATGAGCCTGAACATTCATGTTACCTCTTCAATCTCCGCCTCCTTCTCCCAGTTCTTCTTGTAACTGACACTAACAAGCACTGCATAACTTTACTGTCCTCGAACAGTCAAAACATCCAAAGCTCATTTCAATGATTCTTCAGATGAGGTCAGTATAGGATCACCAGAATAGCGCACATACGATTAAGCACCGCGAACTATCCTGCAAAACAATTACATGTCACTAGAATGTCGGTCTCAATCAAGTCAGACTACGATCAAAGCTACTAAACCATGAAGCAAAATCCACAAAACCGGAAGAAACACGAGAGAAGGAAACAAGAGGAAGAATAGACAAGTAGCCCCAGGGCAATCCAAGTAAAATGGAATCGAACAAACGGAAAGCCCCAAGAGGGAACCCTAGGATTCGTTTCCAGACTAGAAGAAGATACAAAAAGGAGCAAACTTCGCCACGAGAGAGGAGAACCCAGACAAATCTCGCCCTCACCGAGTTGAAGACACAAATTGCTGATCGGCGATTACGCTGATCGATTGAGCGAGATGACGAAGAGAAGTTGGGCAACGAAGTCGGTGAACAGCCGATGTCGCACGTGTGAACACGAGCCGAGTGAAAAAATAAAAAACAGAAGAGAAATTCGGATCGAGCAGGTTGGCAATTCCGGGAAGAGATTCCGAAATCGACAGACCAAAGAAGATGAAGGACAAATGCCGACGGATTTCGATTACGAAGGATTTCTGGGCTCGGAGTTCTTTGATTTGGGGATTTCGGGAGCTTGCTCGATTTGGGGATTTTGATTTTTTTCCTTTTAGGTATTTATTGGTCTTTTAAAAAGGAAGAAATAAACACAAGTAAATTTTATATTTCCGTAATTAATATTATATTTGTTTAAGTTAATTTGGACAACCAAAGGACGAGTAGCGGAAGTCAAGAAAGAAGCAAGCAGTGTCGGAGATAGATATGTTCCTGTCCGTCCGATCAAAAGTCTCTTTATTTACGAGTTTACCCTCGTGGTTATCCTAACCGAGTGGCTTCTTCTTCTCTCTCTATTCTGTAGAAAACACGTAAATAAAACCATCTAAACCGTTAAGATATTATGATGTTTAATAATACCATAACATTTTCATAATAAATAAATAAATAAATAAAACCAAAGTTATTTCTTTGGTGTTGTAGCATTCAATCATACTTCATTTTTCATTTCCGGTTTGTTTACAATACCCAACCTAAACCGCCTTGATTCTTGAATCTAATTCGGTTACAGTTTCACATACCAAGTCTTCTCAGCTCGGTTACAATACCAAACCGGTATGACATTCGGTCAACTTCCACATACCAAGTTTTTGTACTATTTTTTTTTTTTTTGGCTTCTCATAATCAAATTATGCCATAAATAAAAATGTACACATCACTAAAAACTAGTTTTGGTTTTCTTCTGTCTTGTTCTTTCAGGACAACCATTGCTTAAAAAACAAGGGGACAAATTCTTCTACTTACAGTGAAGAACCAAAACACTTTTCAGTTCCTCTTGTTCTTCGTCTCTTTCCTCCTCCGCTCCGTGGGGAAAGGATCACAGCCATTTGTTTAAATCCTTTTTCATGTCGAAGTTCTTCGCCATTGTTTCTTGCTTTTGCTCTGACCCAACTTGAAAGGGCTCCAGCTTTTTCTGCGTTTCGAGGTCTCGCAAAAGAGACCTGAGGCCAGAGCTTGTTGAAGCCATAACTCAAACTCCTCCTCGTCTTCATCCATCATCTCCACGTCGAGATCCCACGGGAATCTGCTCGAGTTTGATCTCTGAGTCGTCTTCTCCAATCCAACCATGTTCACATGGAAACTGGGTCGATGTGTGTTTGGTCTACACGCCATTCCCTGCAAGTGAAACATCATCTATCATATCATCTCGCATGTCCTGTAAACTCAGATCGAGTTTCTTTCTAGTAGCTTTCTGCTTTCTGCTCTCTTTTGTTTTTGTTTTTTATTTTAATTCTTTGCAGCAAAAACAAAACAAAAAACCGATATCTCCAAGACCAAGAACACCAACCTGACAAATAGCCCATTCCGAGACGTCAAAGATCTTGCTCTCCGCACAAACAAAGGCTCGTGGGATTTCCATCTACAAAAGGATATATAAACCGGTTGAGCATATATAATAAATGTGTATAGAATGGATCAAAACTTGTAACTACACTCCACAAGTATCTTTTGCAGGAGAAGGAAAGAACTCGGAGATACCTTATGGGCTCTTTCGAATGCTAAAGTTCCTTTATGTTCGACCCATCCGTCGCCATCCTTAGCTTGATGATATTGGCAACAATCCTAGAAATCAAAAAAAAAAAAAGAATAAACCCGAAAGAAAAATTTGAAGACTTTACTATTAAGAGACATAATAACTATGAGTGTGAAGTAGCTAACCTGACACCATCTCGCCTTTGCCTTACTTCTGTTGGTGCACACCCATATGTGAGAATTCCCACATTTTGTACAGTGTATCCGCCTCGATTCTTCTGAACGATACTCGGGACCATTCTGCTAATACAAAGAAAACTCTGTCAAAGAATTCTGCAGAATTTCCTTACAACCCTTACGGTTTACACGGGTTGTTCATTTTGCTTGTAGAAGAAACAATGAAACAAAAGATGCAACCGAAAGATACCTGGTGCGTTGAAGCATGAGATTTCTGACAGACACTTCTGGTTCTAGATTCTTCCTTCCTTAATTGTTCATCATAATCTCTCTTCTTGACAGAATCAGAAAGAACCTGCAAAATCCAATCCAAAAGCACCATGAATATGGTGGTGTTCTTCTACACACTTGTCACTGGCCATTTCATATGTTCATCTGTTATCAAATTACCTCATAGGCACATTGAATTTTCTTGAACGATTCGCTTGCTAAAGGGCTTCCCATGTTTTTATCTGGATGAACCAACATGGCCTGGAGAAAACATAATTTTCTCAGAATGGCGAGAAAGAAAGTGCCTACCCAGAACATAATTACCCGGAATTCAGACAAAGAAAATACCTTCTTTCTGTACTCTTTTTTCAGCAGAGAAGGATCGATCTTCTTATGCCGAGAAAACCCCAAGGCTTCATAATGATCCAAACAATTCAGTATTCTTTTCATCTCGTCCTCCGAACTTGATTCTACTTTGACAATCTTGACACTACATATCTCCTTCACGGTATTAACAACAGTAGAACTAGAAGCCGGCTTAGTGGACTTGTTTTCATGGACCTTCTTCTCCGGTGGTTTCTCATCTTCAACAGGAACAGAAGAATATTCAAACTTTCCCGGGTATTCGTCTTCGATAACTGTTTCGGGCTTCTTTGGCTCCTCCGGTTGCGTTTTCTCGCTTACATTGTCACACCATTGAAGAAGACAATTGAATATGTCGTTGGATAAGAACGCAAGATTAATTGAGAGAAACACACCAACCCATCCAAGCCTGACTTTGACACAGTACATTGCATACACAGTTGCCATCAGAACCACCAGTCGTGCATGATTCAAGGAAAATAAATATCCTGGTTGGAATGTCAAAGAACTTAGCTTTAAGTAAAAAGGTTCATTACGTTACAACGGAGAGGACGGAGAAAGAACAAGAACCGTAAACAAAGAAAACAAAACTCAAACGTAACTGCTTCACCAAAATTCAAGAAAGTACTGAAAAAGTTTTCAAGGTTATCCTATAATTTGTTCACCATCTTCAAGATTCACAATCAAGATCTCTGAATGCCTCCATTTCTAAGATCCTAGAGAATATTCTAGATATTCCACCAACTAAGAGATATACTTGGTGGGTGTACTGTGCAAATGCTCTAAATGAAACCGAGAATCACGAATGCTTTGAGAAGAATGGTTAACTAACAAACCATGAAGATAGAACAGGAAAGAGATGAAGATCATATCCCGAAGCATACCGTTCTTTGAAACCGGAAACAGAAAATCAAGCCTTACCTCCAACAATAAATAAAGTTCCCGTAATCCAAAAGTTAGCGTACATCCACAAAATCAAAATGCCGAATAGCCCAACTATGAAGAGGCCAGGAGTGCAACCCAAGTACAGGACAATGGCACCAGCAGTTCCCTGAAATATCAAACCAAAGGGTGAAACTCAACTCTGTCACTCACAATCCACAACCCCACCACCATAGGTCAAAACATCACGACTGAATCTCCAAACAAGATGTAGATTTAAGAGAGAAGCCCAAAGACTTTGTGTGAAATGGATTTCAAGATCAAGAATCTCAGCTTTTTGCATTCTGGATCCTAGATTATTTCTATATTAGGCTCTTTATCAGAGATCTTGTTATACACACACAAGCCTATTTAAGAGATCTAGGATCCAGAAAAAGAAAAGATTCCAAAAAGGAGAATAATCCAGAGATATTACCATACTGATCAGCACATAAACCAGGCAAGAAATCGAAGTCAGGCTAAGGAAGCAACTCCACATGATGACGAGCAAAGCAGCCGAACCCAATTTAGCACTAGACTGGAAACCCCTCAAAATGCAGTCTTTCCAGTAAACCAACGACAAACGAAACAGCCCTAATAGCTTCCCGCATCCACTGCACACAAGTGGCCAGTGACGCTCCACAAGAGCCCCTGTCTTCTCCCCGACACATCGTACGGCAGTGCAAGCATGACAGTACACATGTTTCTGAGATTGCAGCCATTGCCAACCTTGCTTCACCAACCCGATATCTTCCATCTCTGAAAATCCAACCCTAGATAAATCGCAAAACCCACCACTTCCTTCCTTCCTTTCTCGGATTCACACCAACCCACATGCCATTAGGTTTCGATCGAAAGAAACAGACTTTGATAACCATAATCACGAATCTGCAGACCCTTATATCTCAAAGAAACAAGCTTCCCATCCATGGCCTCGATCCAATGATCAGATCACCAGCAATGGACGAGGCTAGAAAGCTAATTCCACAAGATTATCCGCAGAAATCCCCAAAAAAGCAGAGATAGAAGATACCAACACAGTAGCAGAAGCACGGAGATTAAAACGGCTAGGCAGTAAATCCGGTCACGCTTATTCGTTCAACGCAAATCCCTTCACATACAAGTTTACTCAACCAAAAAATAAAAATACAACATTTGGAGTGGAAAAGGAGAAAGCAAGCCCCCGAATATCTGAAACAAACAGAATCTTCCCTCCCCTTTTTTAGCAACAAGCCCCTTGCTTCATTAAAGAACCCTAAATCACCCACCAAAAATCCAAACTAGAGCCGAGTCATCTCCGATCGGATCCGGGCAAAATCACAGAAACGCACAATTTTCCCGGCAAACAAACAGAATTAGCTTCGTCGGAGCAAAAGAACACAACGCACCGACAAGCATTTCCCGGCTCGGTACACAGAAAGAGCGAAAAAAAGTAAGAAATAAGCTTTGGTTAAAGGAGATGGGCAGTGGGCACTGTAACATTAGCTCAGGAAAACCCTAAAGGAGCTCGTGAAAAAGCGAAAAAAAACAAGCTTTGAAAAGTTTCAAAAAGTTCTCTTGAGAGAGAGAGAGAGAGAGAGAGAGAGAGAGAGAGAGAGAGAGAGAGAGAGAGAGAGAGAGACCAAGAGCAC